ATTTAATCACTCATGTTCTATGGTTTAATGACGCGAAAAAAGGGGAAAAAAAGGTGCATGTTAATTCACAAAACAAGAAAAGTGTTTAAATTGTTATACTATAGGATTCTAACAAAGCCTGCTGCTCTACCAAAAAAAAAAAAAAAAAAAAAAACATGAATTGGTCCTTTTTTTGGTAAATCAAGACATTTTAACTTGGGTATGTTAAATTTGAGAGAAATTAGAGAAAAAGTGTTTTTCAATCCAACATTAACCCTATGCATGATCCATTTGTTTATTAGTCAACCTAATTCGATCCTTTTCTTTGAAAATGGTTTCCAGTAGTAAAAAGTAGTCCACAACATAAAGAAAAAGATTGAATTTAAGTCTACCGACATTTTTTATTACTAATTATTGGTTAACCATTACTAAAGTTTGTCCGTCCATGAACCATGATCAAGACATATCAACCGTGACGACTGACGATAATCTCTTCTCCAATATTATTGTTTCCTCTGTGAATGAACAATGATGGGAGCCTGTGGCGTGGTTATATATTAAGGAGGTTTGTTTTTCACATTATTAATCAAGTTTTTTTAAAAAAAAAAATTAATGACGGCATAGTTAATTCCTTTTTGTAATTGACGCTAGCCACTAATGACACCTTCTAACAATTAAAAGAAATGGAAAAGAAAAAAATTCTGTTTTTGTTGTAAATTATAAGAAAAATAAAAGAAATAAAAATTATAAAAATTAAAAGAGTAATACTATAGTATTTTAGTGGAACCATGAATAGTACCTTAGTGGGATTTTGAGTTACTCTTAATAGAAATGAGTTATAACATAAACGAAGATGAAGATGAAGATAAAGATAAAGCAAAAATGAAATATCCACCAATTAAAATTGACAATAAAAAAATTCACAATAATTTTAATTTTATTTACCTTGTTTTAGGCAAGCATTTAAAAGTTCTTTTCAATCCATTATTCAATTTCTTCTCTTGCATATGAGGAAATTATCCAAATTTGTTGCCACAACTATAAGAACTCTTTAAGTAATGGTACTCTAAGCACAATTAAACACTTCAATATATATAAAAAGAAAAAACAATTCAAAATAGAGTAGAAAATCTACGTTGTTGCATTAAAATTTATGGATGTTGATAAAAGAATCATATTTTTATATAATTTTCACATATTATTAATAAATAAATACATTTAATATTATAAGTTCTAAA